TCTTTCTATGGGAGATGTTTTATACAATTTACACCATAGTCTTAGAAATGTACCTACAGATTACTGTTTTCTGTATGCATGAATGATGAAGAGTAACTTGTATCAACCAGATTCGTGATGCATAAACTTAACATGTATGCTGCTCTCAATTTGGCCCAAAGTCACCAAATAGGTTATAATAATAATAATACTACTTCTACTACTACTACTACTACTACTACTACTACTACTACTACTACTACTACTACTAATAATAATAATAACAATAACAATAGTAATAACAATAATAATGATAAGATTAATAATATGTCTTGTTTACTTAGAGTAGCCTCATCAGTATTAATACTGCTCTCCCGGATGGCCCTGCAATCATATTATTACCCCGGTTAATCATAGTCCACTTTTTTTTTTCTTGCAGAGTGTATAAATATAAATGTATGGCACATAGCTAAAATTTCATTTGAGCATCATCACATTTTTGCATAAAGTACACAACATAAAATAGTTATATGGAAGTTTACTACCTTTGAAGTAAGAAGGACAGTATAGCAAATATTCGAACGTCACATTACTAACATTTTTTGTATACACAATACATGTAGTTTGTAACTTCTGACTTACTGTTTGTTGCGACGTGTTTGTGTAATCCAATATACTCATTAAATTCAAAGCAACATTTGGTCAATGTGTAATACAAACTTTTTAACAACTTTAAATCCTCATAATACAAGTAATTGTACACAATCATTTCAAACTTTCAATGTTTAATATAATAAGTAACAGAGAGCAGACCAGTACTTACATCTCCTTAATGTACAATTATCTAGTTGTGCCATGAATACACGAGATGATATTGTAAGCATACTTTGTTTTACCCAAAGTATTTTTAAAAAATTTCAGCAACATTTGGTCAATGTGTAATACAAGCTATTGAACGAATTCAAATCCTCATAAAACACGTACAAGTAAATTTACACCAAATACTGTGCAGTAAGAATGACAATATAGCATATATTCAAATGTCATATTACTTAAAACTTGTTGTATACAAAATAGTTTGTAACTTCTCACACGTTTTTGTTTGACCCAAGTGCATACATGTGAGCTTTGAATGCTGATTGTTCAATACTGACCTAGGCAGTGTTAGGTATACTATTGTGTACAAAAACTATGATTTAATATAAACCATGGTCCATGACTGGCTTAATCATTGCAGTGTCACTGCATTGTGCATGAATAATCAGATGAAAATTAGATAAATGTTTGTTTTCCCCCTAAATCCTGGATGCATGCAGGTAATTAATCGTCACTTAGTATGCCGACATCATGTTCTTATAAAAATGAAGCTAAGTAAAAATCAACACCGCCACAGTTTTGTTCACCATCTATATAAGCATAATTCATTGCTTATAATGTTTACATGTACTTTGGAGTATACTGTGTTAAGTTTCTGATCCTTCTTGCACTATTTATCACCCCCTTTTTGTTAAGTATACTCATGTATGGGGCAGACAAACCTATTTCTCTGATGCACTAAATGTATAATAATGGGATAGTATTGGATACTTGTAGAGGTGTTGTGGTCTTGTGGTTACATCACTGGACTGAGGATCACATGGTTTTCAGTTTGAGACCTGTGTGTGTGTGTAATTGTTCTTTTTTTTACAGACGTGTATCAATCAGATATAATTATTTATGTCTGGAGACAGACTTTTAACGTCACCATCCGAAAGACGCGACTCAGTTTCGAACCTGCATCCTCGGCTGAATCAGTTTGTAACTTCCATTGTTAGCTGGATTACAGGCGCATGCCACAACCCAAAGCGGCACTAATGGCCTTTGGCAAGACACTGAGCTACATTTGCCACTGTTCACCAGGTGATATAAATGGGTAATTAGTAGGAAGAAATTGTTTGAATGTAATAGCCCTTTTAGTAAGGCAGGAGTTCATTTGAGTATATATATATATTTTGTAGTTTAAAAAATTAGTTTTAAACACCATATAAATGTTACTATTATTATTATTATTATCATTATTCACCAGGCAAAGTGCCCAACAAACTCCAATATCATCTAGGCTCTAACTAAGCTACTAATATTTGTGCCCAGGTACACATTCCAAACCTGGGTGGAGAGTGGTACATGCAGATTAATGTTTCGTACATTTGTCATGGTCCTATACCATCTGATGAATTCATAGAGGGCAGCAGCATAAATCCTTTCTAGGAGTAATACTCTGCTTTGGCCATGGTTTGGTTGGTGTCATCTACTTACAGTAGGGAGCTTTTCAATTTGCACAACCCTTTTGATCTATGACGTGAAATTTACTGACCATGTCACGTCTCCACGCAAGTCTCCGTCTAACAAAAAAAAACTACTTCGATTTCGCGACTCAACAGCACGGGCCTGTTCACATAACCATTCTGATAACGTGTCCCATGTACAGTACACGCCGAAAATCTCCGCAACACGATTACACGATATATTTTTTGGATTACACGGTTTACACGATTCACCTGAATCGTGTAACTGTGTAATCGTGTAAATTTACACGATTGAAGATTGTCGCTCTGAATCGTGTAATCGTGTAAATAGTTAAGTGCATTGGTGGGATGATTCGACCAGATGCAACAAACGTGTAACTGTGTAATCGTGTAAATTTACACGATTGAAGACTGTCGCTCTGAATCGTGTAATCGTGTAAATAGTTATAATGGTTATAAGGGCATTGGAAGGATGATTCGACCAGCTGCAACAATCTGCTAATCGTGTCTTGCTTTCACCACTCGCTAGTAGGGTCCATGCTTGACTCATCTACATTATATTTTTTCCAGTTACGTGGGGAGAATTATACTAGTTATAATGTTGTTACATTTGCCCCCTAGGAGGGCGGTCATACTTTTTATTTTTTGTATCCTAGCATTAAATTTCGTCCTTGAAACTTCGCCTAATACAGGGCCTAAAATCTTATTTTTTGACCATATACAAATGACAGTGATAGCACAAGCACATATTTTGTCCAGATTTTTTTTTTTTTTTTTTTTTTTTTTTAGTTCTTTTTAGGTAATTGAAGATTTTACTCCCGTGCTAAAAACCCGATGTCTTGAACTCGTATTGCATCACGTGCAAGAAATATATCATACTAGGTCGAATCATTATATTCCTTTCAACTTCGATCTCGTTACTGACTCACATGATTATAATACAAGGAATAGCCGATTCAACTTTAACTTGCCAGAAAGAGTAATTAGTATTTGTAGTTCGTTTTATTACGGTGGCATACAAAATTAGGAATTCCCTTCCTAATGATATAAAGGAAATAGAAAACTTTGCTTATTTTAAGAGGAAATTAATGGAATACCTAACACTTGAGAGTCAGAGAAGATCGAAGCGAATGACATATAATATATGATTGAAATTGTTATTCTTCTGCGGGTTCATACCTTTTCATTTTATGTTTTTTTACGTAATATAAAGTTCTACATATTGATCATTATTTTCCTCTTCCTCCGATAGCTCCTCCTCTTTTTCTTCTTCTCCTTCTTATTTTCTTCTTGTACTTATTATCATTTCGATCATCAGTTCAATGTTGTTATTATCATTATCATCATTATTATCTTTAATAAGTTTGATTTTCTTTTTCTTATCTATCTCTAAATATTACTATTTTAACTTATTAATTGTGTACATTTCTGTCGGGGACCCCACTGGAAATAAGCTCTCGAGCTTTCGTGGGTTATCCTGTTCAAGCTGACTTAATTTTGACCTGTTATTCTTGTATATTGTTGTATGTTGGAAGCTGTGCAGGGCGTATATGCATAGCGCGTTTCTACTATAGGGGTGGGAGCCGCCGTTACATTTGCCCCTTGTTACTTTTATCCCCTTAAACATATGACCCTCTGAACACTAGGTATTACGTAATGATCTACAACACTACCTGTAGCTAGGGCAACGCCCTTTGTCCCCGGCGAGGGTCAAATGACAGGCTACATTCAGAGTAAGCTTCCTTTGTATGTGATAGGAAGTGTGCCATTAATCCTTGACCGTGGCTCTTCATACATGTAGCTAAATGCATGTTGTAAAAGATAATTTACAAAAATGAGAAAAGTCAAAAAAGCAATAAGTAATCAAAGTGTAATTGTTTGTGACCTTTTCAAGCTGCCAATGACGTAAAACATAATTATCAGCCAAGGCCAGGAACTCTCGTGGGGGAAAATGACGCCCCTCGCACTCTCATGGATAATGACGGAATAAAATACATAGTATAACGACATTTATAGTAACGAATGAGCTGGTGAACATACTTCTAATTGGTACTGCCTTGTAATGTGAAAGTATCACAACATACTTAGTTATGTTAGCCCTCCTTTAAGTTTTCTAATATTTTTTAAATATTTATTTACAACTAAGGATACCCCCCCCCCCCTTCTTTTGTCGTTCATCACTTTTTTCTCTTTTTTTCTCACCGAGGATTAAATCCGAGAGTGCTTTTCGGGAAGTGAACTGATTTTTTTCATTTTTAAACAGTCTAAAATTAAACTATAGAGACACACACCGCAATTAAAAATATGTAAGAGAGACAGAATGCGTAATCTTCGCTCTCCCCATCGTCCCCGTTGTCTTTGTTCAACCCCCCCCCCCCCCCCTCTCAGCTGTTGGTTATTCCTGCTTCTACTGAACTAGACATCGTAATCTGCTCACAATCACCTCTGAAAATTGTTACACAATTCCAGCGAGCAATCGAATCGTGTAAATTTTGAATCGTGTAATCGTGTTGCGGAGATTTTCGGCATGCATATTACACGATTACACGATTCGACCTGAATTGGGGAATCGTGTAATTTTACACGATTACACGTTTACACGATTCAAATTTCGCTTAATTGGCAAAAGACGAATCGTGTAAAATAAATGGTTACACGATTCCCGCGAGCATTCGAATCGTGTAAATTTTGAATCGTGTAAATCGTGTTGCGGAGATTTTCGGCGTGTACTGTACATGTAGCAGGCATGTACATGATAGGTTGAGCAGTGGCAGGGTGAAACTGTTTTATTTGCCATGAATACTGTATGATATGTTTGTAATGCAGCTAGTTTAAGAAAAAAAATTATCATGTCTGCTACACTTTTATGGTCCACTAAATAGAGAGAAAACTTGTTATTTAGGACATCTGGTCCCGTCTTACGAAGAGTTTCGATTGATACAGATCAATCGCAACTTTGAGGTCTCCTATCTCTTTGATACATACATAAATTTATTGCGATTAATATCAACTCTTTGTAAGACAGGGCCATTGCTGTATGATACCTTTGTAGTGTGGCAGGACTCTAGCTCATTTTGTTCATATGTGATGTCTGCTACGAGTATAACTACATGATCGTGCTCAGCACTGATTGATGCCCCACAGGATGGAGAGTGAATTTGGTCCACCTCGTCAAGACTGCTGCATGATGCGTTTGAAGTGAGGCATGACTTCATGCTCCGGCACGTGGAGTGAGAACTCTAGCGCTACCAGGATCGGGAACTCAAAGGCAATCAGGGTCTTGCGGCTCTCCCGAAACACAGACTCAATATCCTGAAAAATTAAGAGAAAAATAAATATTAATAGTGACTGGTTAGAAAATGATAATAAACATGGGAAATGCTCTCGGCGGTCTCGCCTGCATTACGCAATTCAATATGATGAAAAATTAAGGATGGGACATTATTCATAGGCAGGGTGGCCTATTAGCAGGCCCCCCAAAATGAAATCCTCTGAATATAATCGGCATTTTGAAGTGAATTTTGAAAAAGAATCATCAGAAGAATCATTTACTTTTATTTGTACCAAGATTGATACATGTAACTTTAATGCACTATGAACAAATAACAAAATTTGAATTATTAATTCTCATATTAAGTTATGAAAACATAATCCAAGTCTACGAACCTAAAATGACCTGTGACCTTGACTTTGTGACCTGGAATTTGTGTCATATGATTTGTGATACTTGATAACCCTTTGGTTCAAGTTTCATGGAATTTGAACAAACACTTTTGAAATTATTAAAGAATTCAAAATCTTGATGTTGATACAACAAAGTCTAAGATTGCATGCCTGAAATGACATTTGACCTTGACTTTGTCACCTAAAAGACTAATCACATGATTGGTGACACTTGATAACCCTTTAGTTAACCCTTTAGTTTCATTGAATAAGGACTTATGCTTTCAAAATTATGATTAAAATTCAAAATCTTAACCTTTGGTTAAGTTTTGATGTTGATGTTGATGTCACAACAAGGTCTAAATCAAATAAACAATTCAAAAACGTAGGTTAAGTTTTGGATATTGACGTCTCCGCTGCCCCCGCCTGGAAAAGCGGTGCCTTTGTCTCGCTTTTTGAAATGCAGGCGAGACAAAAACGTGGTATAATTTCAGTAAATGCGTTCCACCTGACTGTGTTTGACCAACTAGTTTATTAGGGTCTAGGAGTGAGTTGTATAAAATGTAATATCATTCAATACACTACAATAATCCATACATCATATTTGACTGAATGCATGTAAGTGTACCTTGATAAGAGTTTGCAGGTCAGCCCCTTTCACATCATTCAACTTGGCTGCGAGTAGAAGAGAAGTACCTGACGGAAAAGACCAGTTTCATAAAAAAAGTTGATATCAGTATTGTTTATTTTAAAATGGCAACACCCTAGGTCATTGTATGTGGTCTAAATGAGGAGGATGTTCAAGACAAGAATAAGTTGAGCGAGGAAGTGTCATCATGGATCTTGAAAGATTTATATTAAAAAAAAGTGTCATCATGGCGTGATAGTCTGTAACCACTCATAAGAGGGAAAATGCTGTCTTTAATAAATAATGATAATCCCTATTGAATAATTACAACAGTTGCTTATTGTCTGTGCCTCCTCATTGAATGAATCGATAGATCGGCCAATATGGAAAGAGTTCAATAAGGGTGATGTATTTTACAAAAAGCATACTATTATTCACAAACGGTTTTAAAAACCCATAGGATGTATAATTACCCGAGCATGATTTACGATTCTCCTTGTTGACCTTTCGATGTAGAACAAGCTTTTCAAAGTAGACATAGCTGACGGCTAAAATCCAAGGATCAAGAGAACAGTTGTCGGATACCTTCTTCATCTCACGTTTTAAACTGAAAAAAAATAACAACAATTAAAGAGATTTTATAGAACTGTTAATGAAATGATATAATTCTCCCATTAAATTGTGCATTTATCAGTTGCACAATGTTTAGAGAAATACATCTGAAATATAATGCTACAAGTCAAAGTTTATTGAGATGTTAAAATGAGAATGAAAATAATATCTAATTGTCACTTTCAACATATTGCCTGATTTGATCAGTGCTCGCTTCTCCAGTTTAAATTCTTATCATAATTACACGAATGCATTATGAAATATCATATGAAAGTTCATTGAATTTGAATATATGGTACCTTATGTATACATTACACATGTTCATTATGGCTTTGTACATACATACCCGAAATCCAAATTTGCACTGATTTTAGTAATCTCATATCTCAAATATTCATAGTTCTCTTATCATTGGTGCAATTTATTTCAAACTTTTGCTATTCTGTTTATTATCACTTGGGGGGCTGTCATACAAATAAAATTGGTAGATGGGTTGGATTGCACTGTCAGAGTTATAAATGGATTTCTTAAGAATTCATACTTCTCTTATAATTGGTCCAATTTATTACAAACTTTCACTTTTCTGTTTGTTATTATTTGTTGGCTTCCATACAAATGAACTTGGTATATGGGTTGGACTGTCAGATTTATGAATGGATTGCTTACCTTCTCAGCTTACTGAGACTCAGATCTATGTTTGGGAATCGTTCCCTGAATTTATTATTCAGTTCCTTCTTTAGTTCTGATGGCTTGGTGTAGTCTACCACAGATACCTGGGATATGCATGAAAATAAAATAAGCAGTCATTATACAATGGTGCGTGCGAATGAGTTCATTAAATGATCTATCTGCTTTCTAGGTGAGGCTGCATGCATCTATTCAAAAAAGAAAAAGGGAATAGATCATTTTAATAAATGAATGAAAACATACACCATTTGTTTTATACAACGAAACTCATAGATCCTTGTTATTTGATGTAAAAAGAATTAATTTGTTTTGTGTCTTATTTTTCATCAAAAGTGAACAAACTCACATACACAGATAAATCAACTGACATGCCAACTACCTCACCCTTTGTGTTATTACTATAACATGACCACAACAACAAAAAGAGCAATATCTATTTCATGATGTTTTCAGTCAATAGGCTAGAAATTTTGTGAAAATCCCCCATAGAGTTAATAGTTCAAAATAAGTTTGTACTAAACAATGGCGTGGTGATCACACCAACGCCGGACACTGAATCTGCCAACTCACCATATAAGAAGAGAATGTAAGAAGTTTACGATGCTTTCCAAGACTGAGCTCTGGATCATCTAGCTCTACAGGGTCATAGATTCGCTGAGCGATGGACGGATGGTCAACAGGATGACCCTCAACCTCAACTAGGTCAGAAGGGAGAAGAGGTCAAAAGGATGAAAAACTATGAACATCACTACACAAATTGTGACGTCAGTCCCTCACAACTCAACCAATAGTTTTGTTTATATTAATAATATCAAGTTCCATTAAAAATAAAGAAAAAAGAAGAAAACAAATCAATTTTAATAAGAGAGGAGCAATGTAGATAAAATACCTTGCTCAAGGATATGAGTGCTGTGCCGGGGATCGAACCCACGACCTTTGCATTTCCATTCAAGTGATTAAACCACTTGACACATAGATTCCAAGCTCATTAAAATATGTAACTCCATATTTTGCCAAAATTAGTATTTGATATCAAAATGTTCAGAAAAATGTGGGCTTTCCAGGAAACACAAAGACTTAACTCCACCCAACACCCTATTGAAGTCAATGGCTAGTGAAACATAGACTTAACTCCTAAAGGCCCAAGTGGTCAGAGACACATAAACCACTTTTTCTCAAAATGGCCAAAATGGAGTTACGTCTTTGTGTCACTGACCCCTCGATATACATGTACAACTCAGACTGAGAAATATGATGTTACAAAAAATGATTTAGATTCTTACTTTTATCCCATTGCAGTGGAGAGACATTTGTGAGGGTCATCTTGCGTATTGCGGGGGAGTGTGGTGATGCAGAGGAGAGCTGTTCTCTTTCCTGGAGTTGCCTACGAAACAGAATCAGACTGATGTCTCGGCTTGGTACCAAGAAATGACTGAATGATACCACCTGTTGGGATATCAAATAAAGAAACAGTCAAACAATAACATGTAAAAACAGCACTAATTGGGAATTGTACAGCACATGTGTCTGTAATGCACGGAGCTCATGGGCCAGTTTTATTACTGGGGGTGGTGTTTCACAAAGATCCTAAGTTGGACTTAACAATTATTGAAAGCTGTTAGCATCTGTGAAAATATTTTGTAAAAGTTATTTTAAAAGGCATAAAATGTTGATTCAAATCGTTCATATTTTCTAGTATCAAGGAGATTTTGTGTTCTTGGTGTGGAATTTATAAAAAGTCTAAATTATTTGAATTTTCACTTTTGAATATATTTTATTTTAGGGCTACAAATGGCTCTCCATAATTTTTACGTCCAAATTAGAGTTGAGTTCTACTTAGGGTCTATGTGAAACACCCCCTGGACTTTCCCTAGTCATAATAAACCTATTATTTGTTGCAGGAGGTATGATGTATGAGGAGAATAACTCAGTGAATCCTATAGAGTGGTGAAGTGTGAGGTCATCAAAAATCTATTTTTTAGAATTTCTCAATTTTTTCATTCAGATGGTCATATCTCAGCCAAAACTTAGAGGTATTACAAAGTTTTGGTATGGGGTCATGAATTTGGTTCAAATTAACATATTGGAAGCAAATGCGTTCCTACAATATTCAGTGATCGTTGTCGCGGTTGAAATCGAGTCTAAAGTTTTGGAATTATGAATAATAAACTCTTTATGTTCTCAAGGTCAAGATATTAATTTAGCTATGAAACAATATTTCTTGACTAAAATCGACCGATTAACTATTCCCGTTTGGAAATTTTATATCACAATTACATCTTCTGAGATTTTCATGGTCGCAGCTAACATTGTACGGCCATATATGCGCTATTTGAAATTTATCAAGATTTATCGGGAGCACCGGTAAATTTTATATTCAATTTTTCTTGAAAACAGAAATGTTTTAGGGGCTAATTTTTTTAGTGCTTATAATACATCCACAGGGGCATCCAAATATGTCAAAATCGTAAAGATTCACTATCCACCCAATTTTCAAAATTTCCCAAAACTTTGTATTACCTTTAACATATTCAATTGGTTTTCGACATTCGGACGTTAATTTTGATGCTCTTTTGGAAAATGAAGAAAAAATTGAGAAATTCTAAAAATAGATTTTTGTTATGTCACAGCTTCGGGTCTCTATTAGTGTGATAAACTGTGTTCATCACATCCAATGTGAATTTCCTTCATGGCAATAACTACAGAATTTATAAAATGCAAAAGTACTCTCTGTCTATGCCCATGATATGAAATAAGCAAAATAAATACAGATCAAAAGTTACATTTTTTATTGCTAAATTTGACTCTGGAGAAAACTTCCATTAATGTTGATTTAAATAGCAAACAAAAAACATGATGCTCCTAAGTATTAAAAAAAAAAAAAACCACAGTAGTAATAATATACAGTTCAAAAGCCAAGAGGGATGGTTAAGCATTAAAACATTTAAAAGGTCATTTTATATATCTGTTTTGGTTGCTTACCGTGCCTTCAACACCAAGCTCCACCCCATCTAGTGTGGCCAGAAAATCATCGCTTCGCACTGTCAGTGGTTTGCTCCCTGACGTACGTCTCGTCCGTATAAAAGTCCCAGCTTCAGAATTCTTCCTGAAACCATGCATGAAAGAAAAAAAATGAGCGAAAAATAGGAAACAATAATAATTAAGCTTTTATATAGCGCTTAATACATCTATGATGTCTCTAAGCACTTTACAGATATACTATTACCCCGGTCAATGGATTCAATACTTGTCCGTACACACTGTGTGCACGATCTCCTCTCCCTGAGGAGTATTCCAGACAGGCGTTACTTGATGCTCAAAACTGTTTAACCAACAATCATATCCTGGCTTTCATACAGCTACCATAATAAGGCACTCAATCAAGCAAGGAGTTTCTTCCTATTGGGTGGAGAGTAGCAAATGTACATAATTTAATAATGATAACATTTATATAGCAAGGCAACTATATGATTATAGTCTATTATAAGATGGGTAGAAGAGTCCCTGCAATCTGATTGGTCAATTACCATGTAATTATTTTAACTGGATGCACGCGATATCAGCGATCAATACCACCGATATCCTTTTTTTTTAAAATAATTCTCTTTTCTTTTCTTTTTTTCAATAATTTTTTTTTTTTATATAAATTTTTCTTTTAATGATTTTTTGGACAATTTTTTTTTGGTGATAATTTTTTTTGTGTGTTTTTTTTTTTTATAATTATAATCTGTTTAAATTTTTTTTAACTGTCTGGAATGGTATGTAGAGCCATTTTATTGCTTTGTGATGATTTACATTCACCTAAAATGTAATTAAATTGTCCTTGTCTTGATGCTGAACAGGCTTTGACAAGTAGCAGAATAGAAGTAGAATAATATAGTTGGGAGAATTAAGGAATCGATCAGATCAGTTTTTCCCGATTTGTACCATGAATAATGATCCGTTTTCACTCAAATTTTCAGATTATCTTTAATTGTACATCTAGCATTGAAGTCACTACCTTAGCACCACTATCTCTCATCTGAACAATGTTACAAAGTCCCTTTAACAGTCTATTGTGCACTGACAATTTTTTTTTTTTTTAAATTTCATGACAAGTTAAAAATCATGCGTCCGGTAAAAAAATCAAGCAAATGGTAAAAAAAAATCATGCGTCCAGTAAAAAAAATTACAGGACGCATGATTTTATCATGCATCCGGTAAATCTGTAAAATAACATTTTGTATTTTGGGGCCCCCATCTTATAAAACAGATGAAGCTCAGGTTTAATTCGTGGGTCGGTGGAATTGTGTGCATGCGGTACCTTTGAATTTGGTCTAAAACCATTCAAAGGTACCTTGTGCACACAATCCCTACCGACGCACTCAAACCTGTGCATCATACGTATACTATGCTTCATACATACAAAGCATGACACTATTGGTCAGTTATAATGTTAAAATGCTTAATAATACAAATTGTTAATTTTAATTATTTTACATTCACAATACATATGGCTCTGTATGAATCGATCTGCACAACTATGCTTTAAAATATCGTACCTGTAGATTCCAAGCTGACTTCGTCTGGTGTATGGCAAGAGAGAGTACATCACGAAGGGTGAATGGTTGGGCGTAACAAGCAACATTCTGAAAGAAAAGAAATCTGTTAAAATTTCTAATTCCAATCATAAATATCCTGATAATCAGACAGACAATAGGCTTGTATTTCTGACTAACCTAAAGGTTTATGATTATGATTGCAGCATTAGTAAATCCAAGATTTTGTTTAGAATCTGAGACAAAGATACAAAAATCCCTTTAAAGCCCTATATGTAGGTCCGCTGCTTGATTGCTTACAAGCTTACACATGCTTTCTTAGCATTCAGGTTTAAAGCCACACTGTGCTACTTGTAGCTACTATAGAAAACAATGCCTAATCGGTGATCATTGGTCCCCCATGATCCTCATTTTCTTTTGTTAACTGAGAGCTGAGATGATGAGATAACCATCTGTCCAGTGACCTTGCAGGGTGGTCTAATCCCTCCTATAAACTGGTACAGATAAGCTTTAAAAAAAAAAAAACTAACTAAGTTTGATGTTGGTATGAATCCTACAACTTCTTACCTTTCATTTTTGCACATGCGCTGACGGAATGTTTTAGCCACTGGAATCTGGAATCCCGCGGGCGGGGATCGCTCTTTGGGAGACTCGATATAGCACTGGGCCTGGTTAGAGGGCAGCATACAGGTCTCTCCCTCCGCCACCAGCGTGAGCGAGCCTGAGAAGTCAGTCGACTGCTGATGGTGAAAGAGACGCCTCTTGGAGTATTCATGGGAACTGGTCCCTGAAAAACTACTGCTGAAGCAAAAATTTAAAAAAATTGGGAGGATTGAGGCTTGTTCAGATATATAGTGCAGTGAAATCGCTGCTATAAAGCTGCCACCTCAATTTAAAGTGTGCAAATGAATGGCAAGTGCATGCAACATTTGAACAAAAGGACTTGCATGTATTATCTAAGCTCTGTGTTACATGTACTTATAACACACACAAATATTAAGCGTATTTCATTCATAAAAACGCTGCAAGTTTGTTGCGTCATATCTCAACAAGCCTTTACTAAAGTGAGATGCTACAACGTGTTTGTAAAGCCGTTTTCTAGCATGAAACATTCATTTTCTTTTAAATTAAAAAAAAAAAGTTTGCAAATATATTCTTCTGACAATTGCTACAATCATAACTCATCCATATTTTTAGTTGCTTACAGTCTAAGGGAGTATGAATACTACTTTGATATTACAAGGAAATTCACTAAATTGAGAAAACTCCGTGCATGTACCTAGATCTATACAAAACTAATCGCTATTAATCTTAAAGTATCAAATTTGAGACACAAAAACATTTGTTTGTGTTCACCCATGTTATGTAGTGAGGCATCTAAGCTCAATATCATCAGGAACGTATTTGAAGTAAAGCAAATCACTATCACTCTGGTATCAATTTTTCCCTTTGCCATTTTGGGTTAAATTCTTGACTAATTTCAAGTTTCAAAGTGCTTTTAATGACAAGAAAGAAGAGTCTACTTGCGAACTCAGAAGTCAGTGTGCGGTAAGGCCAAATTGCCCTAAAGCCTATAATTTCTGTAAAACTAAAGGGTTATTAAAAACACATCACATGTTTAATTTATTTTTTACTTTAGATCTATTTGTTTAGACTACATCACTTTTCACAGCAAAGGGTCACCAATTTAAGGCTTAGAAGCCTTAGATATATCAATATCATATCATCACCTAGCCCTATATGCTTAAGTTCAGGGCGTAAGGCTACCCGAAGCAAGACTAAATATTTATTTGACTGAAATAAAATTAAAAAGACAACAATTCTACAGACTACACTGAAGACTTCAGCCCAAAGTTCAGAAAATCTGGCGTTAGTGTTTAGAAAGTCTACTTGTTAATGTTAGTTACTAAAAATATATTAGATTGTACATGTAGCTCACCTCGAATGATAAAAGGGTGAATCATGTTTGTAAGAGCTAAAAGGGGGACTCTTTTCACCACCAGAAGTTCTCCTACTTCGGGATCGAGTTCGATTCCCCATGCTACTATTGGGTGTGTCCACCGCAGACCTAACTTGATTCAGCCCCGTGCCTGTCGCGGTAGATGTCGCTCCAGTTGCAGCGTCTTTCTCGCTGCGAGAATTCTCCGGATATTTGGTCCCAAAATCGGTGCCATTCTCCACATCAAATTTATTCGAATCTTTGCTAAGTTTTTCAGGTTGTTCTTGCGAAGGTAGAGTGCCGTCGAGTGAAATGTTAGTCAAGAAATTGAGAGCCTCAAGCCTTCTTTTTGCATGTTTTAAGTGGACCTTTTTCCTGGAAACTTCGGCCATGTTTTGAAGAACAAAGTATGGATCGCCAAGAGATACATGGGATCAAGTTTGAAATTGGGCATTTGGATTATGGAGTACTCCTTGTGTAGTGGGCGTAATATTGCTCTTTTTTCTACTCTATTTTTTTAAACAAAAATTAATGAGATCAGCTTTCAGCCTTAAACAATTCAGGTATAAGTTTTGGTAACCATGCGATGTAGCTTCTTTATGGGAAATCATTGCAGTGGCGGATCTAGGGGGGGGGGGGGGGGGTTCGGCGGTTCAACCACCCTCCCCTCCCCCCCCCCCCCTTTAGTGGCCAAGTGAGAAAAAAAAAGATGGGGAAAAGAGGGGGGAAAGGGAAAAAAAAAAAAAAAAAAAGTAAAAAGGGGTTCGGGGGAGGGGGAGTTGCGCGAACCCCCCCACCCCCTTAGAAAACAGAAGGGATTTTTGATTTAAAAAAAAAGGTGCTCTATAACACCCCCTCCCCCTTCCCCCCCCCCCCCCCGTTGAACAAAACAAAACAAATTAGTGCTCACTACCCCCCCCCCCCCCCCCCCCCCGCTTATTCGCTGCTAAATATTCCTCGGGCTTGGTCGCTCCCTTGCAATGTCACACTTACACCTCTGGCTCAAAGTTGCAACCCTAAGAACCCCCACTTAAAAAAATCTTGTACGGGCTTGAGCATTGATCTATGACAATGATTTTGTATTATTACAAAAATACCCAAACATTACATCATCTTTGAGCTAAAGTTCTTACTGTGACCTAATGATTAGAGGAAAAGTCGCTCAGTGGGGGGGGGGGGGGGGGCCCCTGCCCCCCCCCCCCCCCCCTGGATCCGCCACTGGATCTTTAGACCTCTATAAATAAGCCACTCTTGTCGGCGGTAGGGAATCGTCGGCGGGATCGTCGGTAGGGAATCGTTGCGGCGGGGAAACGTAAAGGGTGCACACGCGCACATTTTGTTTTTGGAAGACGTACACGCACCGACGCACGGCACGTACCGGAGGGCGGACGACGACGAGGAGGGCGAGTGTCGGTGACTCGGTGTACCTATCATCTTGAGATCATAGACAGACTAGGAGACTGGGTTTTAGTCAGGTCGGCAATCGAAAGGCAAGATTTAATGTTTCGACGATGCTGTCACTAAAGGTCCCATTTTCGCTCGTCATCTCTCTCGCTGTTCTTGGACTTCTTTTATTGAAGGATGAAGGCGAACAAAATGTTACTTATTTCGGTGAGCAAAAGAAGTTAATTGAATTTATTTGTATGGGTTTGTGGAATATTGAAGGCTGTTTTGGCTTCCATGCGAGAGGTCTGGAGTTCGATCTTTGTTCCGGATGCTTGTCCATCCAGCCTTGGACAAGGTATGCTGTACTTGTTACCATCCCTTTCGAACCAGATGCATTGATGTTTATAGGTATGTCTACCTGAGTAATACATGCTAGGGAGAGCAGCATTAACACTTATGAGACTTTTGGAGATAAATATTACAATACTAATTATATGCCATTTTGTTTTAATGTTAGGACCTATACATATTCATTTGATTCTCGTCTTTTTTGTCAATTAATGCACCATATCACCTTTTAACAAATACACAATTTTAACCAATAGTATTCTTTAATTGGGCACATACCGTTTGATGAAATGCAATTGTATTCGAAAGTACAATTTTGCGATTAAATCTCCCGTTTCGAGAGATTTTTTAAGTAAGCACATGATGTCAGATCAATTTAAACGAAGCCATCACAACGGCCCCCGCCAAAAATAAAAAAGAAGGGGGGGGGGGATAATAGTTGTATAACAATTCTTTGTAATACGAACAGATCGTAACACGGACGGATTGAGCGAGGGAGATATTATAGATAATTAGGTGCGTGTACATTCGTTGGTAAAACATTACTATCATCTATTTTCATAAACATGGAAACAAGATCCAGGCCTACATACTATGTATCCTTTCTTTTTCAAACAATTCGCTATATTTCTTTCCTCCTCCTCATGCTAACCCATTATTTAGTATTACCGTTATCATGGTTTCCATGGGAACTGCAGGTTTTTCATCAAATAAAATGTCGGATTGATTATTTGAAGCATTTGTCAAGATCATGACGATAATTGCCATTTTGGAGGCCTCCATAAAACTAAGTGAAAGCAACATTAGTAAGACAAGCTTACACAATCAAGTTTTTACTACATCTCAGGGAGGGAAGGGGGCTCACGAATGCTCAATCTTCATGATTCTTTGCCATTAGATGCATGCATGCCCACATGATTCTGGCAATGACACCTTCGAACGAAGAATCACCAGGGTTATATTATAACGTAGATCTACCTGGTACCCCCCCCCCCCCCCTCCTCCACCTCTCTGCCAAGTTATACGTAGACCAATCAAATAACGCTGCCAATTAACGATCCCGAACCCTATCTGACTTAATGTTCATTCCATGTTCTCCAAGCAGCTGGAGCGCCAATTTTCCATCTGTTTGAACCAGAACTGAACCTTCAATTTATTTATTCCAAGACCGAAAATGTTGCATGCGATTTGGCAGCTTTGGCTCTATAATTCAGTCTAGGTCAGGCTTAAAACAAACTAAGGTCATTCGCGAGTAAGAATATAGTAAAACTTTCGAAGTCATATTGAACTTACACGTTGCCCAATATCGAATAAAAAAGGTGGCTCTCGAGTTTTAAACAATTAAACACCGATTCGTGATAACCTCAAAATCAACCTCAAAATCAATTGTCTTAATCCAATAATTGAGATTGCTCGAGAGTTCAACAAAACTTCTTTCAAGGTTAGCTCTTAGTTCAAACGCTTTCAACTTTTATTTTCTTGATAGTACATGTATTCTCAGTGACCTGCCTTTGTTATCCATTCTTCTTTTCCTTCCTTTTCTTCCCCTTCTTCTTTTTTCTTCTCCCTTTTCCTGTTTTCTTCTTGTTTCCCTTCTCCCTCCGACTATTCCTCCTCCTCCTCCTCCTTCTTTTTTTTCTTCTCCAGACTTCTTTAGAATTCCTTTTTCTTTATCGTCACTTCTTTGTCCTTGTTGATCAGTTTCTTCCATATTTTGGATCAAGTTTCTATATTTCTTTCTTTTTCTGACTTTTTCTGTTATATCTCAAATCTTTTTTAAATTGTTTTTTTTTGTTCAACTACCAAGTTTTTGTTTCTCGAATCTTTGATTTTTCATGTTATTCCACGTATATAGCTTTCATTTGATATCTCGTTCCTTGCTTTTTACAACTTTAAATATCTTTCACATTATTCAGATATTGGTCATTTTTCGTTATACGTTACCTTCTCATATATACATGTGGATAATCAGTGTGTATAGTTCCTTTATGCAATCTCCATATTTAAACTCACATTGTTATGTTATTCTGTTTATACCTGTATTTATACAATGTACACACAGTCATTAATAAAACAGTCCATTGATTGGGAATGCTCTTTTGAAATACGAATAAATACATGAAATACATTTTTTTTTTGTAGAATAATGCTTGTACATGTATAATTCAAATTAGTTGTACAAACTATTTTACACGGAGTGCTAGGAATAGTAAAATTTAAGAATTTTAACATTTCCCTTGCAAAAATGATCTCTGCATATTATTATGAGAAATCTACAACCTCATGCAAGCCTTCGCATTTCCTGAAAGCTCATAACAATGTCACTCGCCCAGGATGTATTTATCATACTTTGTCATGATGGCCTTGTGTAGGGCGCGTAATATTCTTTTTTCAATTCTTGTTTTCAATTCTTTTTTTTAACAAATGAAATCGGCTCTCATCCTTAGTTCTGTTGTAATTAATGTTTTTGTTGTTGATGATGTTGTTCATATGCAGTCTTGGTGATCTTCCTTTATCTGCATATATGTAAAGCATTGACCTAATATATGACAATTATTTATATTATTAATAAAATAAAATTACATCATCTCCTTTGTGCTACAGTTCTTACTTATAGCCTATTGATTAGATGATTGTGTCCTTAATACAATATTTCTGTTAATATAGGCATAACGGCATACATGGGAGTGTACCCCTCACCTCATGGGGGGTGGGGGTGGAGGGATTTGCATTGGTGGTCATGTAACATCACAATAAAGTAGTCCTAGAAGCGGTTAATGGATAGGCCCCTTCTTCAAATTTCAAGTCAAAACAGCTATGACGACACAGGTGGCATAAAGAAGTAGAGCCAATTAAGGTTTATTAGGCTATACATGTAGTTTGACAATCTTGAGATAAGATCTGGTATGGACATCGCATGTCGAGAGAACATGGATATTAGGGACTTTTAGATTTGCCGAACGAGAACGTGGATTGCTACGATCGACGTCCTTTTAATGCACTGCCTTGAATGGACGTCACAGGTATCAGTCCACGCAAATCTAAAAGTCCCTATTATAATTTGTTTGGCATCGTGTCATTTATTTGTAATCTTGAACATTCAGTTTAAGTTTTGTTGTATTCTGTGAAAACTTATTTTCCATCATTACCAGAGCCCAAGCTTATATTTAAATCATGGCTTGTGGGATTAAATAAAGACAACATAATGGCTTAAATACATTAACATTGCTGATTATAGAATGATTCGGCAATGATTGCACGGTTGCCTTCTGTACTTATGTTTGCGCCTCCCCCTTCATTGAATACTGTAAACATTTTAAAATCAAGATGATGAAGAGATGGAAACAAATTAAAACTCAATAATAAAAAAACCTAGCAAAACAAATTTATTTGTCCGGTAACGACCTATGCCCCCCCCCCCCCCCCTTCAAGTGTATTATCAAATGGCTAGGGTCCTAACAGTAACATTCACGTCCCTTTATCCTCTGCCCTTTTCTATTTGTTTTCATTATTATTTCGTATAATTTATTGTTTCCCCCATCATTTGCACTTTGGTTAAAAAAGAGTGGTGGGGGGGGGGGGGGGGGGCTCCCACCCTCCTCTGTTAATAAACCACTAATGTTATGCGTATCTTCTTTTTGCTTAGGATGATCCAAAA